CATGCAGAGAAAAGCTGCAGCCACAAATTCACGACTTGACTTCTTAAATTCCACACTGGGGATCCTTTCAGGATGAATGGGAGCTGAGGAAACCTCTGTGGATGTGGGGATCACCCTGTACCACTCTCCTTTCAGCTGGTGTTCTTTAGTAAACATGCCATAAACTATGGAAGCCTATAGGTTATATCTGTTTGTTGTAATTGCTGCTGCCCTTTTGAGAGAAAAATAAATATATATAAATTAGCCCATTCTTTGCGTCTTTTCTTTTTATAAGCAAGTGCAAATATCATATAGTAATTGGTGGTTTTGTAAAGTGTCAGAACATGTCTTTGCATCGGCGTGTGTGAATCAGTCATGCCGCGCGCTCGTTAACATTCTGCCCGGACAGCGCGCGATGCGGCGCCTGCGCGGCCTTTACACCGTCCCTAGGTCTCTCAGTCCCTCCGTCCCTCTGGAGCGAGTTGAAGAGAGGAAGCCCAGCTCTCTGTTCGTGCGCTCACTGAAATGGATGGAGTAGAGAGGAAAAGGACAGAGGCTCAGAGGAGCATCATGAAAGATAGCGAGCTTAAACGAGACTCCAGCATCCCTGAGCGCGTGACACTCAAGAAGGAGATTGGACTTCTGAGCGCGTGCGCGATCATCATTGGTAAGGAAAGTTTACAACTTGTTTTCTTTTTGATGATGGTTCACTCTTCTAACATGTAAATGTATTGAGACTAATAAAGACAAGATATTCGCCATCTTGTTAGTCCTGGACTGTTATGTTTGGCTTTTATGCACACTAGAACACAATATTATAGGCTGTTTAAAACATTCTTAAGCATGTTAGATATAACCATGTAATCAGATTAACTATTTGTGATTTATTGATTTACCTGTAGTTAATTTAGTATTATTTTAATGTAATAGCTATTTGATAACAGGATGCATTTTAAAGTATATTAAATTATAAATATCTTTTTTTTTGTTTTGTGATTTATTAGTAGGCTTATCACTCAACAACATTGTAAGGTTACTAATGTACGTATATATCTGACTTGGTTGTTTGTTTCATTCTTGTTTTAAATGAAAAAAAATCTCAGAAAACTCATTGAATCTCAACAATTAATGAGTGTTAAACAACAATCATTTAAAGTTTGCAGATCTTTTAAACCATTCTTTTACTTGAGTCTAAAACCAACATCCACCATATGTAGGCCTCTCAGAGGTGTTTGTCCTCTTAAAAGGGGCCGCCGAATGAAAGCTAAAGATTGTTCCCTCCGCTTCTGATGGTATCCGGGGCTTTGACGGGCAGCAGTAAATTATTTATGCCTGCTGTTACGTAATGTCGTTGTACGAGTGCTTGAGAGAAGAGCTGCCAGGAAGCGGGTTAGTGAAGGGGGGCTGATCATTGTCTTGCCATGAAAACTCTCAGGTACTACAGCAGGGTTAGTGCTGATGTTGACTAGGCAAGCTTTCTGATTGATTTTGAACAGTATTGGGTTCTACTTCAAATGTTATGCTATAATAAAAAAGGGGGGGAAATAGCAGTTTAGTTACATAATCTTATGTTTTTGTCTTTTGTTTTTTACTGGGATTACTGGGAGGCATGCAGTAATGAAAGGGCAGCTGGAGCTAGTCTTTACTCCAGTGAATATTTCTCAGACTGGGTTTATTTTTGTAAAATAACAAACCTAAACATTTGTTTACCAAAAAGTTGTTGAGCATTTCTTTCCACTGTTATTGGCAGGGGGACCTAAGGGGAAAACAACATGTTGACCTCTTTTGGGAGGCATGTTATTGTGCACAAAAAAGTACTGGGGGATTGTAGAAAGTCTTCATGCAAAATGAAGCTTTACCATTTCTAGCTCTGACCGATTTTAAATAATAATGTTATTCCCCCCTGAAATGGGTCATGCCATTAACACCTGAGCAGTTTAAATACGCTACTCATTTTCTCCATCCTAGTGTTACTCTTATTCATCTGCGGGGTCTGCTTTTTTTCAACGCTTTCTTTCTTTGGCACTGTCGAGGGCGTCCTCTTGGCAGCATTGACGATCTTCATGTCTTCCTTTAGCCGATCGAGCCACCTCATCTTTGGTTGTCCTCGTAATCGTCATCCTTGGGGACTTAGGCACAGTGCCTTTCTGGCCACTAAATACTTGTTGCTCCGTACGATGTGTCCGTTCCACCGTAGTCACACTTAGTCCTAATTTTGGACAACACCCAGCTGACATCTTTGTCTTTTATGTGGTCCAATTGTGTTAGCCCTAAGCCAGTACACATTCGCATCTCCATGATGTTAAGGGCTTGTTTGTGTTCCTCCGATCCTAGCCAGTCATCTGTGCCATGAAGGACAACAGGGCAGGTCTTATGAATCTTGGCCTTGAGGTGGTTGGGCATAAACACGGGTTTATGCCATTTCATCCATGCCACATTAGCCCATGTTTTAGCATCAGAGAGTGTGCTGCTGTCACTGGTGATGACGGATCCGAGGTATTCGTCCCTTCTTCAGTTCTTTGCGATTGACGCTGATAAGGGCCACATCCCAGGTACTCTGTCTTTTCTTCCACCTTTGAGTTAGCCATTGCATATCAGCCGTGGCATAGAGTGTCCATGGTGAATGAGGCACTTGCAAGTCCTTGGTGATTGGGTCCATACACAGGAGCGGTGAGAGAAGAGAGCCTTGTTGGACATCAATGGTAATTGGTAAGGGCAGCAGTGTTCAAACAGAGCAATGGATGGTACTGGTGACACTGGTGTAGAAGGGCTTAATCCAAGTCACGTTGGCTTCAGGGACACCGTGAGCCTGAGGGGCGTGCCCATAGACAGTATAAGAAGTGGACAGAGCCATCTTATGGAACTCCATTGAGACAAGTGAAGCCCGTTTTGGCGATTTTTTTTTTAGCACTTCCATTCCTGACACGCAGACTCAAAACAACTCAAACAGAGCTTGACGACGTAGATGTGACGTGAGCAACCCGTCTGTCTTCTAGTGGCTGTGGCATGAGAAATCTGAATCATTCCCTTCCGAAACTTGCTGAGGCGGAGAGTGTGAGTAGGAGCTGTCATTGAGCGAGGAGCAGGAGGAACTTTTGCTAGGTATTCTGATGAATTATTTTGCCCGCAAGCTTCTCCTCCTGTCCATACGGTAATCTCTCTACTGTGCGACAGAGAGTCGCTTGGCTATGACGCAATCATTAGCCTACTTTTACAAAAAAACTGCTTTTACGGGGCCATAACATAAGCTACAAGGTATTGGAGCATTTTATACATTGTCGTGTTTCTTTAGAAATAAAAAATGGACAAATGGGGTCTTCAAACGCCTCAGATGTAAAGTTATTCGCTGTCAAAGTGACGCCAAAATGAATGGGAGTCAATGGAAATGCTAACGCAAGTGAAGTTCTGCTACAAGATGGCAGCTCCTGCAAGGCTTCATATTCCGGTCGATGGATTACCCCCTTTGGGCGTGCCAGATAACGTCGTGGGGCACCAGGTCAAGGAACGGCATATGTACAGGCTTTTTCTTCTCACAGTGCCTCTCCAGGAGCGGCATGGATTGCATCTGTGGTGCTGCATCCATGGACGAAGCCGCATTGGTTTGGCAAAATGGAGGCTGTTTTCCGAAGCCGGCCTTTGAAAACTCGTTCAAAGATCTTCATTGTGTGGCATAAGAGGCAGATTGGGTGGTAATCAGGGCATTTGGCCACATCACCTTTGCCCTTCCACATGGTCACATTGGTGCTGGTCAGCCAAATGCATGGGGCCTCACCATAAGTGGCAATTCGATTAAACAAATCAGTGAGGATGGTGATGCCCCAGTGGACATCCCAGTGGAAACTTCCAGGCTTACACTGGGATCTCGTCAGGGCCCATTGCTTTCCCATTTTTCATCTTGACTGCTACTTCTGAACTGGTGATGGCAGGGGTGGGGCCAAGGATGGGTTTGGCACTTTGAATCGGCGGGTGGGCAACTGGTGGTTGCCGAACCCCCCGAGAAGTATTCACCCCAGCATTGTAGAATAGCAGGTGGGTTTTGGAGGACCTGTTGATGATCTTCCTTGATGCATTTGATTTAGCCAATATCATGTGTGGATTGATGGCGTGCTTTTGAGTTGAATTGAAATCTTTATTTCGAACATGAAAGAGAAAGTATATAAAACAAATAAAACAATGTTTAAAAAAAAAACAACAGAAAAAAACAACAGATTACCCTACAAAGTACCCTTTTATTTCTGTGTTAACATACTTAGGTTACATGTACGAAAAGGAGCAGGAAAAACGTATGTTCTCCTACCCCTTTGGCTAAGCGGTAGATCTTGGTTTCTTTTTTCTTGGTTTTTCTTGGTCTCCCGGTGTATCAAGGTCAAAATTTATCTGGTAGCTGGTCAACCAGTATTGTTGGTAATCCGCGTTGTTGTTGTTGTGTGTGTGTGTGTGTGTGTGCGTGTATATATATATACGTACACACCTTCAGTGATGAATTTGGTCCTTATTTCCTTATTAGTATCCATGTTAAATCTAGACAGAATGGTGCAAGACTTTAGATAAACAAAAACAGTACACTCATATTATAAGTAATATATAAGTTATATTGTTTCACCATATTGCGCATTTCAATTTCTCCTATTAATAAGTTAATGGGAGAAATTGAAATGCGCAAATATGGTGAAACAAGTCCCGTCCTTGTAAATGAAAGAACCAGTCGCTAATCGGTAAAGCTGCGTTAGAAGCTCCGGATGCTATAGGCATGAAAGGGACTTTGCTTGCCATGATTTTTTTTTTTTTTTCAGGATTCTCGTATGAATAGGAAGTAAATACAAAATAGTTTATCAAGTGGTATCAAATACACCAGTGTGAGTTCACAGGTTTGCCCAAGAGCAAATGTTAATATAAAGGTGTGAATGTAAAACATTCAGACCAAGAAAAGACAACAGGTTTGCAGTAAGGCTAGGGCTGTTGTGTTCAGGACAAATATAGATAGGAAATAACTATTACATGTGATCTGTTTGTTTTCTCAGGTAACATTATTGGCTCAGGAATCTTCATCTCTCCTAAAGGTGTTCTGGAGCATTCCGGATCCGTTGGGTTGGCGCTGGTGGTGTGGGTGTTAGGTGGAGGCGTAGCTGCTCTGGGTTCCCTTTGCTATGCTGAGCTAGGGGTCACCATCCCCAAATCTGGGGGAGACTATTCCTACGTCACAGAGATTTTTGGCGGTCTCATGGGGTATGACAGGTTCATATGTGATCTTTTGAAAAGTGAATGAAAATCAAATGTCCGTCACATATCCTGAATGTGGTGTGTTGCTTTCTAGGTTTCTGCTATTATGGAGTGCAGTATTGATCATGTATCCCACCACATTGGCAGTCATAGCGCTTACTTTCTCCAACTATGTGCTTCAGCCAGTTTTTCCACATTGCATTCCTCCATACATAGCCACACGCATGCTGTCCACCATCTGCATATGTGAGTGCTTGCTTCTTTATTTATCTATTCGATTCATTTTCATTTCAGTTTATATAATTGTGCTAAAAGTCTAAGTTTTGAAATGGCTTTGGTTAACCTGAGGGTTCACCAGAATTTAACCTCGATTTGAAGCAGAATTTTGTGAAGTGTGTTTTTCATGATTGGAAAAAAACGTTGCCTGGTTTGATGACTCTCGATTTCACCATTCAGAAGCATGGATCCATCCTGCCTTGCCAACAGTTTAGGCTGCTGGTGGTATAATAGCGTGTAGGTTATTTTCTTGGCACACATAGAGTGCCAAAGTTATGACATCACTCTGTAGGCCAAAACGTGGAAGTGAGTTAACATTTTAGCACTCCCGCTTCCCTCGCTCTAAAGTCTATGGGATTTTTGAATGGGTTTTTGCTAAATCGTCTGAAATAAGGTCTCTGGTGAACAAAGCCTCTATTTTCACGTTGTGATCTATGACACAGAACACACAGTTATAACCTGCTTGTGTTTTTTAAAAACTTTATATAGGCTTCAAAATGTATACATTTTGGATTAACTTGTAAAGATTATCTTGATAGACAAAACATGTAAGGGTCACAACTCTTTGTTAAACACAGATTTTTAAACATATTTTTTGCGATTTTCCAAAAGTCTATGGGGAAAATGCAAAGCTTTTCGATCGAGGGAACCCATGCGCCGCTAACTTCCGAGTTGGCCTACAAAGTGACGTCATCACTTCGGCACTCTATTGGGCCCTTTAGTACCAATTGATCATTGTTTAAATGTCACAGCCTACCTGAACATTTCCATCCCTTTATGACCACTGTGTACACATGACTTCTGATGGCTACTTTCAGCTAGATAACGCACGTCATCAAGCTCAAATCATCCCAAACTGGTTTCTTGAACATGAAAATCCGTTCACTAAACTCAAATGGCCTCCTCAGTGACCAGATCTCAATCCAATAGAGCAGCTTTGGGATGTGCTGGAAAGGGAGATTTGCATCATGGATGTTCAGATCCGACAAATCTGCAGCAACTGTGTGAGGCTATCATGATAATATGGACCAAAATCTCTGAGGATTGTTTCCAGCACCTTGTTGAATCTTTGCCACAAAGAATTAAGGCAGTTCTGAAGGCAAAGGGGGGCCCAACACAATGTGTAGCTAATAAATTGGCCATGAAAGCCCATGGAGATTTAAAGGGTACATATCATGCTTTTAAAGGGGACATATCATGCAAAATGCATTTTGTTGTATATTTGGAGTGTTTATAAGTACAGAAAAGATGAAATTATTCTCTTCAGGTGCTTCGTTTATATCTTTATATTCTGTTTTGGTCATATTTTTCAACCTGTTCATATTTTTCTGTTCTCTATGATGTTTTTTGAACAATTACGTCACCGTATTTGCAGCGGAACTGACAAATAAGGACATTGACTACCGGCCCAACACTTCGAGCAATCCGCCATTAATATTTCTCGCTCCGATTTTGTAGTCCGAGCTCAATGATGCAGAAGTTACGAGAGGGCAAGTCAAAATGTTCGGTTGTTGGTTTTACGTTAGTGACCTGAAGCACTTCAAGGATCCCCACTTCAACAACCTCCGCCAGTATAAAGAAGGGGTCGCCGATCGACTTCGTCTGAATGAGAGGTAAATTCCTTCTATCTTTGGAGACGACGAACAGAGCATTTCGATAAGCTGTAAATATCGTTAATAAAAATAAAGTACTTTACTTTCTTAAAACACATGGTGGTCATGGTTTGGCAGTACCTTTGTCTTTCTTTGTTTTGGTTTTGAAGTAACGTTACACGTCTGCAGCATTATTGTTCTTGAGTTTCATCAATGGTCATTTAGCTGCGTTGTTTTCTGATGCTTTTCTAAACGTATCCTATTATAAATACAGATTTTTTAGTGGTAAGATTAGACCGTAGTCATTTATCTTGTCAGTGTGCTTGTTTTAACAAGGGAAATAGTCGACTTTCACTAATAACACAAAACAGTTAACTCACATGCCAATATATCCATATGAAGAAGTGGTTGTTCTGCAGGTTCGTCGTCGTCTTTATTAACTCGCTCGCTCTGGCTCGAATATGTAAGGCTTGTTGGACAAGTCTTCTGTTGTTGACATTTTATTAACGTGTAAATAAAAATGTTCTTTGAAGGTATCGTACATAATTGTATATCTCTAATCAAACTACAATAATGGCCGAACGTGGGGAGTTGAACTGACCGTGAACTCATCGACCTGGAGAGCGGGCGGGGTGTGACGCATCTCCTTTTTATTTAAAGGGGCCGCTTTGAAACAGGTCGCTCAAAGACGCACATCAGAAAAGGGGTAGAAAAGGGGCCTGTGGAGCTATAATAATGAGGAATTCAGACCTAAGCATTGCAGTTATATTTTATGTAGACCACAACGGTATGATTTATATGTAAAAATGAATGATTTAAAAGCATGATATGTACCCTTTAAATCATTAATTTTTACATTTAAATCATATATTTGTGGTCTGTATAAAGCAAAACTGCAAATAAAAAGGAGATGCGTCACACCCCGCCCGCTCTCCAAGTCGCTGAGTTCACGGTCGGTTCAACTCCATTCCATTCGGCCATTTTTGTAGTTTAATTAGAGATATACGATTATATAGCGTCACAGAACATTTTTATTCACACGTTAACAAAATGTCAACAACGGAAGACTTGTCCATCAAGCCTTACATTTTCGAGCCAGAGCGAGCGAATTGATAAAGACGACGACGAACCTGCAGAACAACCTCTTCATATGGATCTATTGCAATGGTATGTAACTGTATTGTGTTATAAGTGCTGAAAGTCGATTATTTCTCTTGTTAAAACAAGCACACTGACAAGATAAATGACTACGGTCTAATATTACCACTAAAAATCTGTATTGACAATATGATACGTTTAGAAAGGCATCAGAAAACAACGCAGCTAAATGACCATTGATGAAACTCAAGAACAATACATGCAGACGTGTAACGTTACTTATAAACAAAAACAAAGAAAGACAAAGGTACTGCTAAACCATGACCACCATGTGTTTTAAGAAAGTAAAGTACTTTATTTTTATTAACGATATTTACACCTTTCGAAATGCTCTGTTCGTCGTCTCCAAAGATAGAAGGAATTTACCTCTCAATCAGACGAAGTCAATCGGCAAACCCTTCTTTATACTGGCGGAGGTTGTTGAAGTGGGGATCCTTGAAGTGCTTCAGGTCACTAACGTAAAACCAACAACCGAACATTTTGACTTGCCCTCTCGTAACTTCTGCATCATTGAGCTCGGACTACAAAATCGGAGCGAGAAATAATAATGGCGGATTGCTCGAAGTGTTGGGCCGGTAGTCAATGTCCTTATTTGTCAGTTCCGCTGCAAATACGGTGACGTAATTGTTCAAAAAACATCATAGAGAACAGAAAAATATGAACAGGTTGAAAAATATGACCAAAACAGAATATAAAGATATAAACGAAGCACCTGAAGAGAATAATTTCATCTTTTCTGTACTTATAAACACTCCAAATATACAACAAAATGCTATAGAAACAGATATAGAAATCTAGACGTCCTAGTTTTTCAAGACTGTGGGAACCCTTGTTCTTCATTGAATAAATACAGTGGTATGAATAAGTTTTGGCACCCATGCTAAAGTTGCCAAAAAAGAGGAATAAAAAATCATCTTTTGGATATTGATCTTAATGCCTTAATTAGAAAAATGAGGAAAACTCCAACCTTTAAGGACACAAATTTTCTTTGTGAATGAATAATGTATAATAAATAAATAAATGTTTTTCCCTAAAATACAGGGTGCATAAGACACCCCTATGTTAAATTCCCATAGTCAGGCAGATTTTTATTTTTAAAAGCCAGTTATTTCATGGATCCAGGATAATATGCATCCTGATAAAGTTCCCTTGGCCTTTGGAATTAAAATATCCCCACATCATCACACACCTTCCACCACACCTAGAGATTGGCATGGGGTACTTTCCATAAGATCATCTTTCAATGCAAATCAAACCAGCTATTAGGCTAACTGAAGTAAAACCATGCCAATCTCTAGGTGTGGTGGAAGGTGTGTGATGATGTGGGGATATTTTAATTCCAAAGGCCAAGGGAACTTTATCAGGATGCATATTATCCTGGATCCATGAAATAACTGGCTTTTAAAAATAAAAATCTGCCTGACTCTATGGGAATTTAACATAGGGGTGTCCTGACTTATGCACCCTGTATTTTAAGGAAAAACATTTATTTATTTATTATACATTATTCATTCACAAAGAAAATTTGTGTCCTTAAAGGTTGGAGTTTTCCTCATTTTTCTAATTAAGGCATTAAGATCAATATCCAAAAGATGATTTTTTATTCCTCTTTTTAGGCAACTTTAGCATGGGCGCCAAAACTTATTCATACCACTGTATATATATATATATATATATATATATATATATTGTTGTTGTTTTAGCTGATTTTAATACTTATTTAACTTAAGACTCCTTTGAAAGTTTGCTGAGGCCCTCTAGTGGGCCCCAACCCCTGGTTAAGAACCACTAATTAAACTAAAGTCTTTGGAATGACCCAGTTACAGTTACAACCCTGGATTTGTGCCAAAAGCACTTGACTT